CAGTGCTGTCCCAGCCCAGGATGGCAGTGAGCAAAACAGACAACAGCCCCTGCCCTCGTGGCGCTTAGAGTCAGCGGGGAGTGACGGACAGCACAGAAGTCTGTGGGTCCTGGTGGGGAGCAGGTGCCTGAGGTGAGACCTGTCCCTGCAGGCGTGAGGGGGGAGCGTCTGTCCTTCCCCACACCATGGCCTAGGTCACAGCCAGGGACTAGGGACCACCGCCGGGCACCAGGCAGGGGCTGGTCTCCTGTCACCTCTGTGGCCTCCCCCACTCGCATGTGCTTGGGCTCCCAGGATTTGGTCTCCCAGGATCCCTGGTGGAGGACCAGGCCGCCCAGGGTGGGGAGCCGCAGGCAGGCACCGGAGCCTCCCGGGTATCTTCCCATCAACCGAGTCCGTGGCTTCCTCCCACACACTGCACCCCTGTTTCCATGGCAGCAGGTCACTTTGAGTGGCGTGACAGATTGCAGAGCCCCCATGAGGGCCTGAAGGTGGGGGCCAGACCCTGTCCAGCCTTGTCACCAGGGAAGGAAGGGCGCCAGGCAGCAACGCAGAGTGGAGGGGCTGGGATCTGCTGCCTTTCACCAGCTCTCAAAGCCCCCAGGCGGGGTCTCCCTCTCTTACACTGATCACTACCCTGATGCAGAGCAGCAGCCAGCAACCCAGCACTTGACCACCGTCCCCACCACCGCCAGCTCTGTCTCCTGTGTCCCAGTGCTGTCCCAGCCCAGGATGGCAGTGAGCAAAACAGACAACAGCCCCTGCCCTCGTGGTGCTTAGAGTCAGCGGGGAGTGACGGACAGCACAGAAGTCTGCGGGTCCTGGTGGGGAGCAGGTGCCTGAGGTGAGACCTGTCCCTGCAGGCGTGAGGGGGGAGCGTGGCCAGAGGTCCTTCGGGGGCCCGCCGCCACACCCTCTAATGGCTCCTGTCACTGTTGCATCTACCAGGCCAGCACTGGCCGTGTGTCCCCAACATCACCCTGCACACCTCGGGACAAGATGCTGTCCAGGGGCCTTCCCCACACAGCCCCCTGCTTCTAGGGAGCTGGCCCCACAGCGGCGGGAGGGGCGCAGTCCGGGCTGGTCTGGGCAGTGCTGGTTCTGCCCCCTCCAGAGGGGCTGGCCGAGCAGCGTGGGGTGGCCGGTGACCCTGAAGGGGTGTCTGCTAGGATTTAGGGCTTGCGTTTTCTTACTCCTAAGAAGACACAAACAGAGCCAGGGCTCCTTCTTCCTGTAGACTCTGTCCTGTCTGGACGTGGGGCCTGGGGCAGCGGCAGCAACGTCATGAACATGAGGGTGTCAGCTGAGGTGAGAGCTGACCCCAGAGACGGTTCAGCCGGGAGGTCAAAGCAGAGAACTCCGGCGCCTGCCTGGACTCCCATCGCCCCGCGGCCGCCGGGCTCCCGCGTGTGTGACAGAACCAATGTCCCTATCACTCGGGACACTCTGTGGCCAGTTTTCTGTCACTGGCAGCAATAAACACTGACCCCTGTGCCACCCGTCGGCACCTCCGCGTCAGTGAAGGTGGCAGTGGGCAGACTCTGGCTGACAGAGCAGCAGAAGGTCATCGGGAGGGGGAAGCAGGCAGACCCGGTGGTCACAGACGCCGGGGGAGGAGACGGGTTCAGGGGCGACTTGAATCAAGGTGCGGCCACGGCACAACCCACCGCCCCAGCTGCCTTGGAATCTCGGGTGCCATCTGCCTCCCCCATGACCACTTCCTCCCGTCACTGGTTGCCAAGTGAAAGTTTGAAACATCTGCTGGGCCGGGTCATGTGCCCCCAGGCTCGCCGGCAGGGAGGCCAGTGCTGGTCCTTCTGCGTCTGAGGCGGGGGGTCGCCTCTCAGCAGGGGGTCCCCCATCAAAGGAGCGGCGTCAGAGGCAGGGCAGCAAGGGACCGAAATGTGGTCCCCACGGCCACCACCCTCCTCCACTGCCATCGTCACCTCCGCCACCACTGCCCCATCATCATCACCACCACCTTCCCCTCCACCACTGTCACTAACATCACTGCCACCACGCTCACTCCCACAGCCGCTGCTGTCACCACCACCATCACCACCCTGAGTCTCTCTCACAAGCTGTCTGCTAACAAATACTTTCGTGTCCAGTGTTCCCTTTGAGTCTCAGAGGAAGCTTTCTTTCTTTTTTTCTTTTTTTTTAAAAGATGACAGGTAAGGGGATCCTAACCCTTGACCTGGTGTCGTCAGCACCACGCTCTCCCAAGTGAGCCGCGGGCCGGCCCTGGAAGCTTTCTTACTACCATGGTGCCCATTTAACTCATTTAACCAGTCAAGCCTTGCCAAGCTTATGGGCTAGAACGTGGTGGGCTGGTGCTGTCGGGCCTGTGATGGGAAGGAAGAAGCGTGGCTGTGTGTCCACCAGCAAACCCCAGTGCCTGGCTATGTGCCAGGACCGGAGCTCCCAAGGTGACCCAAGTGCCCCTCGCTGTGCTGGCCAGGCCTGAGGACCCCGACTGCAGGTGCAGGGCGCTGTGCCCACGGCTGGGCTTCTCCCTCAGTGCTCATGGCTGGTCCTCTGCCGTATGGAGTATATGCCCAGATCCCTCAGGTGAGGCGGGGTGCCCAGGGAGGCTGGACATCCGAAGGTCGGGCCAGGGGCATGGTGGGCACATGGGAGCTACCAAGAGATGGGCACGTGGGGGAGGATCTCCACACACTGGCTGTCCCCCCATCACGTCGCCTGACCTCAGAGCTCTGGGTCAGGTGTGCCCAGCCACTTGGGTGCATGGAGCCAGGAGCACATGTGGAGAGCGCCTGTGACTGCTGGCCTATGCCAGGGCCTGGCCCCCCAGCAGCTTGGGGTCCCTCTGGGACCCTCTGCTTCCTCGTGGGGAAGTGGGAACTGCCCGTGTTCACCCCACAGGCTGCTGAGGGGTCACATGAGGCAGGTGGCCATTGACCTGGGAAATGGGGAGACCCGGGCCGCACCCCACTGAGGCAGAGAGGGCAGGGCCACCTGCATCCACCAGCCCTGGAGATGACCCCGAGGCCCCCCACTCCCGGGGCCATCTGAGGACGCTGTCGGCCAGGCTCTAGGTGGTACTGCCCCGCTCCACTCCTCCGCCAGCTGCTTGCCCTGCCCCGGCCCCAATTTCCTGTAAAGCCCAGAAAGTGGGGTGGCGGAAAAGAAGGGAGGAGCAGGGCCTGCACCCCCTGCCCACCCCCCACCCCCCCGGCTGCAAGCCTCACACACCCCCTGCGGGGCACTGCCCACCCCTTGCCTACATCTCTCCAATCTCGGGTTCAGCAGCTGCCCAGCAGACCCAGGGCTTGGCTGAGACATTCCCCAGCTGACCTGGGGAAGACTGGTCCTCTTTCCCTCTGTTACTGAAGCCACCAGCCCTGCACAGGACCCCCCAGGCATGGGCCGAGGCCCACCCACCCATGCTGTGTGCAGCCCCCCATGGCCCACATGGACGCACACCAGCCCAGGGCGGACACACAAACACACAGACACGACACCGCTCCCTAGGTCAACCCCACACGGCCCCTCCGAGAGGTCGGCCGCCTGCTCCCTCCTTACCCTGCCGCACAGAGACATAGCGCTGGTTGGCAGCCACCAGCACCACCTGTGGGTGACTCTCCTCCAGGTCGAAGAGCTCGTCCTTGCCGGGCCGCGTGTTGCGGCCGGCCTTGAGCGTGCCGGCGGGCCCCACGGGTGCCAGGTAGCGGCCGTCGCAGTCCTTGAAGGCCAGCTTGCCCGCCTTGAACTCGAGCGTGTAGCAGGCGCGGGCCTCGGGCTCCCAGACGAGGTGGCCGTCGCTGCGCAGGTAGCGGCTGTCGCAGGACTTGAGGCAGTACCGCCGGCTCTGGAAGATGAGGGTGAGCAGCGCGTCCACGCCCCACGGCATGTCACCGTCCGCCGCCATCTCGTCCTCCTGCGGGCACAGGTGCACGTAGCGCCGCCGGCTCACGCTCAGCAGGTGCGCCTGCGGGTGGATGGCCAGGTGCACCGTCCACAGCTCGGCCGGGGAGATGGCCGTGGCGAAGCAGGACAACCGGTCCTCCGTGCCACCAAAGAAGCGGCCGTGCGGCTCCGACTGCAGCACCCAGCGCCCATCGGGCTGCGGCAGGACCAGGAAGCGGCAGTCGCGGCCCGGCCGCTCCGCCTCGCAGGCCACACGCCCGTCGTCGCCGGCCGACAGGTAGCGGCCCAGGTGGCTGCTGCGGAACAGCAGCGCCGCGCCCTGGCCCGGGTCCGGCTCCAGCAGCCAGATCTGCTTCCTCTTGAGGCTGGGCGCCGAGGCGTTGACCTTGAAGCCGAAGCTCTCCGCGGTCAGGTAGCGGTCGCTGTCGTTGACGAGGCCAAACTGGATCTTCAGCACCTGGTGCAGACCATTGGTTGGCATCTTCGGTCCAGCGTGTCCCCGAGGGGCCTGGGACACTCTCTCTGAGGGCTCACGGCCCCCGCCGGCCCCCGGGGGCCCGGCCCAGCCCCGCCGGCGTCATGGACCCGCAGCTCCCGTGTCTCTGCCTCTGGCCCGTGGCCGCTGCAGCTCTCGCAGGAGGTGGCAGCAGAGGGCGGGCCGGGGGGAGGGTGGCCCGGAGGCGCGGCTCAGGGGCTCAGGGGCTCAGGGGCTCAGGGCCGGCGGCCGCCTTTCATTACCCTCAGCATGGATTTCAGCCACTCCCGGATTGCACGGAGGCCGGAGCCAGGGCTGCGGGGCTGGAGGGCACGGCCAACCACCCCTGTCCTCACCGGCGGTGGCCCCAGCCCACGGCCTGAGCCCTGCACCCCGCTTCGTGGCCCTGCTCCCCCTCTCCAGCCCCCCACCTGGGGCCCCTGCCCCACCGCACGGACACCAGCCAGCCCAGCTCCTTCCCGATGTAGAAAAAGCCGCCCGATGGAAAACTCACAGCACGGCCGCAACCCGATCGCAGCCCTCCGCCCTTGGTGGCCGCCAGACCCACGGCGGGATCCAGTTACTGCTTCTCTGATTCCTGCTGCCAGGAGCATGGCAAGGCCCCCGCCCCAGCAGCCTGCAGCCCCCTAGGCCGGCCCCTGGCTTCGTGGTTCCTGCTCCAGCCTGCAGCTCTGCGGCTGACACCTCCCTGCAGTTGCCAGTTGGCCTGGGCCCTGGGCTGTGAAAGTGGCAGGAGAGATGATCGTGCCGGGGCTGAGGGCCCCACGGCCCCCATCTGTGGCACCTCGACCTGAGCCACGGCGTGCTGCACTGGTCCCACAGAAAAGGCTCCTGGCTAGAGAAGAGCAGCTGTGCCTATGAGGGACTCAGTGACCCCCACCCCAAGGGCTGCGTGTGCACCCCACAGGCATCAGGCTGCTGCTAGACCTGGGGTCAGAGCCCCCATCTGTGGCACCTCGACCTGAGCCACGGCGTGCTGCGCTGGTCCCACAGAAAAGGCTCCTGGCTAGAGAAGAGCAGCTGTGCCTATGAGGGACTCAGTGACGCCCACCCCAAGGGCTGCGTGTGCACCCCACAGGCATCAGGCTGCTGCTAGACCTGGGGTCAGAGGACTGTCCAGCTCCCAGCTCACTCCCGTGTGCCCTGAGCAAGTCTGCAGGCCACAAGGCCGCTTCCTCCTCTACGGTGATCTCAGGGTGAAGCCAACCCCATGTGGTCTTCGGTAGACTTGCTGGGTGGCCTTGGGGACACTGGAACTGCCACTTATGTGGCCGGAGCAACTGGACTGGCTGCAGGTCTTTGTGGATGTGGGTCCAGGGGCCGTTTGCCCGGTGCTCCCAGAGGTGGCCCTGGGAATCCGGCAGAGGGATGAGGCTGGAAGCTGGCCACACCGGACTCCCAGGCTGCCTGCTGCACCCTCCACCCTGAGCCTGAGGGGGCATCTCTGGGGGGCCGCAGTGGGGCTGGCTCAGCTGTGCCCTGCCTGCCTGTCTCCTGCACCTGCCTCAGAGGCTGGGAGCCATGTAGTGAAACCAGAGCTGCCAGGCCTGGGCCAGGGCCAGCCTCGGTGTCCTCTTATACAGTGTGGGACTCTCAGACCTCTACGGTGCAGCTCCAGCTTTGCCTCCAGAATTTTGCCCTGCCCGCCCTCAAGTGGCCTTGGGTGGGGCCCCATGCTGTGGGGGTCTGGCTGTGCACACGTGGGCCCCAGGCAGGCGGGCAGACAGGCACAGTGTCAGGAGTCCTTCCTCCATTCTCCAACCTGGGGCCGTGACTGTGCAGGGCACATGCAGACACTGAGGAAACGCAGGGTCCTGTCCCACACTCGGTGCCAGAGCAAGGCATGGGGAGGACTTGTGCACACATCCTCCAGTGTGGCACAGCGCACGCCAGTGGGCAGCCACACCAGGGGTGGTTTTTGTCTGCTTCTGTGGTCCATGCTCATGGGGCACTGACGTGTGCATGACCAGCCTGTGTGGAGGCACCGTTGTAGGGACACACAGTCTGGGGTTGCACCCCCTCCTCAGGGACGACGCCCCGGCACCCACACAATCCCTCCACAGTTCCCAGGAAGCCAGGGACCCAGGCTGAGCTGCAAAGCCAGGGAGTGTCCCTGGTCTGGTGGTACAAGCTGGTGATGCCCGCACCTCGGTTTCCCACTGAACCCCAAAGGCAGGGCTTGGTTGGTCTGTGTGTGGTGGGGTGAAGCCTGAGGGTCAGCCATGCCCCCAGTACCCCCGGGTGTGGACACGGGCCATCCCTCCACTCCCCCAAGTCCAGGCAGGCTGCAAAGGGGACTGGGACGTCCCATCCCTCTGATTAGCATAATGGGCTCATTAGCACTGACTGGCGCTGGCAGGCGCCACAGGCATCAGGTGCCCGGCGGGTGGAAGCCTGGCCGCCAGGCGCTAAGTGGGCCTGGCTCTGGGCAGCCTCTCGGTGGCAGAGCCAGAAGTGGTGGAGGCCCCTCAAGTGCAGAGCTGCACGGCTCCAGGTGGGGTGGGACTGACCGAGGGGTGTGAGCCAAGGCGGACTCTTGGGCCCTGGGGGAGGGGATCTGGATGGTGGCCTCCAGCACAGGCTTCCTTGGAGGTGGGCAGGATTCCCCCCTCCCAGCCCCTGCCTCAGGACCCAGGCTCGCCCAGCTGCCTGCTAGGGTAATGTTTCCTTCCTAGATCCCTAGCCAGGTTTCTGACACACAGGAGGTACTTAATAAGTGCCTGTGATTGTTTGATGTGGGGTCTGGTTCTTCTGTGATGGGCTGAGCTTCTGCAGATAAGTGCAGCATTGTGCATGTGTGTCTGTGGGTGTCTGTGTGCAGGTGCCCATGGAGAGGGGCTGGGCAGAGGCTGCCAGCCCAGGCCCCTGGAGATACTGCCCTGGATCTCAGCCTCAGAGCCCACTCACAGCTGCCCAGTAGGGTGATCAGGCCGTGCACTACCCAAAGGAGCCTGTTCCCAGGATGTCACTCATGCCCCAGGCGTATACTACTTGAAAGAGCCCATGGCATGCCTGGGCACTCCAGCCCCCCTGCAGTGTCCTCAGGTGGCAGGGAGGGCCCCTCCCATGGAACCCCACACTGCTGTGTGGTTGTGCACCACACTGGAGGGTGCCCACGTGGCCTCCCACTTGGGGTGCACAAACATGCCTCCCCCTGTGGCCTGTCCAGTCTGCACTCCGGGGACATCCAAAATCGCTGTCACTGTGGGAGCCCCATTTGCTCTCCCCCCCCAGCTCTAACCCTGGGGTGTGGAGGCCTATACCCAGTGTGTGCCCACTACCCAGGCTGCCATTGTCATCCACTGGACAGGCCTGGGCATGGATGTCAGGCCACTCCATGCACCAACTTAAATATATTGAGTTGAGCAGGGGACCCCTCTTTCTGATGGGCACCAAGAGGCCATTTGGGTGAGCAGCGCCGCTGCCCCCTAGTTCAGGGAGTGGACAACCACAGATGGGTATAGAAGGTGGGCCCTCCTAGCTATAGCTGGGTCTGGAAGGCAGGGATTACCTTAGCCATTAGAATCCCCAGCAGACAAAGCCAGGGCTTGAGCCTCAGCCCCCTGTCCCACTTAGTGAGGGCCCTGCTGGGGCCAGGAGCAGAAAGAGCCTCGAAGCCCCCCAGGCCCCTGGTGTCCACCTTAGAAGTGTCAGGAAACTTCCTTTCCCAGGATGCTGGGGGATGAGTTGCCCTGGCCACTGGAGGGTCCCCTCCTCCCCCTCCCCCCCACCTAGTTGGTCTCCTCTGGGGCTATGCAGGGAAGGACCCTGGTCCCCCATGTCTAAACCGCTGGCCCTGGATGCTAGAGCCCAGCCTGGGCTCCTGCAGCACGCTACCTGCTGCCATGGCAACCAGCACGTGCTCCAGGCTGGGTGCCTAGTGACGCTGATGCTGGTGGCGTGAGCTGGCACAGGCATGCGGGTGTGGGCTGGGGGAGGGGGCAGCTCTCCACCCAGCTGGCCTGGAGCCCTGGAAACTGAGAAACGGAGCCAGGGACAGCCCCATGGCTGAGGGCCACTCCCTTCACAGCCCAGGTCTGCGACCCACGTTCTTGCTTGGGCTGTCCTCCCCACAGGGGATCGGAGGAAATCCCCAGCACCCCACCCCACTTCCCAGTGCCCCACCTCAGCCCTAGGCTCTGACTAGCTGCCGTTGACATCTCTGTTCCCGATGCGTCCCCATGTGATCTGCTCTCCTGCTCCCCCCACGGCCAGGCCACGCTGGCCAGCCCTGCATGGAGGAGGGCCACCCTGTTGGTTGGGGCACTGCTCGGCACAGCCCAAGACCCTGATTTCCTCCTCCTGGTCCGCACCCGGGGTCCCTCTCGGCAGGGGCCTGCTGTCTGCATTGTTCTGGAAACAGGGGCGAGGGCTTGGTTGCCTCATGATTTTTTCATGGCTGAGTTCTGCTCCTCCGCAGTTCCACTTACACGGCGAGGGGGGCCCCCGCTTCTCTCACCCTGGCCTGGGTTGGTTTACTGAGGCCTGCAGGCCCGGTTTAGGGTGACAGGCTCCTCTCGGGAAGGCTTGGGGGAGTGTTGGAATGAAGAGCTTCAGACTGTGCCGTGTGTGCCTCCTGCCCGCCCCGTGTGAACACCCCCAGCCCCGTGCCCCCCGTCTTGGCAAGCAGCCAGCCGAAGCACTGCTCCCGCGGTTCTCCACCCGCTTCAAGCAGAGAGCTGCTGGCTGGGCAGAGAAGCCCTCCCCCTGGGACTGCCAGGGTGGAAAGCCGGCGCAGCTTCCTGGGTTGGTCTCTTGTAAAATCATAAAGTCAGGGTGGGGGCTGTGCCTGGGACAGGAGGAGGAAAGGGTGCCTTGCGGGGCAAGAGGTGGAGCAGGAGAGCCTGGAGGCCTCTGGGCCCTGCCGGAACACCCTAGGCCCAGCAAGGCTGAAAGTCCCCAAAGGGACCACAAGAGCAGATCTGAGGGCATCTCAGCAAGGCCTGGTGCCCCATGACCACTGGGGCAACCCTCCAACACCCAAACCCCAGGACCTTTGCATATTCCTGGGACTGGAGGACAACATTCACAAGAATACCTGAGAGGGAGCCCCTGGCTGCACGGAGCTCAGCGT